TTGTAAGTTTAATCATTTTCACGATTTGCCACAGATGTCAAATAAAAAATATATTTTTTAAATACCTTTTATTGGCAAATAAAATAAGAACTAAAATGTTTTAAATGTTTATTTTATAAGATCAGTCCCATCATAATACATACTTTTACACAGATACAAACTAGAATAAAGATATATAATGCCTGTCATTCTAAATGATACTCTTTGTAGTTTAACAGACCCCCTTAACCCCCATTTTCAACCAGATTGTTTTCACAATCAATAGGCCTCACCTCCTTATAGGGCTTGATTTTTACTAAAAGTTTCATGTTAATATCGCTTTTTATTTTTGATTTTTTTTTTAAATATTTTAACCTTATTAATTTCCCAATATATTCATATTTTTTCAGTATCAATAGGCTTTATCTTCTTATAAAGGCTTCCTTTTTGCTTAAAATTTTATGTTGTAATTTCAACCCAACTTAACCCCCTATTTTTAATCAGATTTGTTAAAAAAATCAATAGACGTTTGTCCCCTTATAGAGTTTGATTTTTTCTTAAAATTTCTTGTTTTTGAATTATCATGCAGACACAAAACGTGACATCGGACAGACGGACAAAGTAAACCTAGAATACTGTATGAAAAGTAAAAAAAAATGTATAAGGTAAAATAAACAGTTTTATGACCTCTAGTAGAAAAGATGGGGCAGCTTTATTAGTCATCGAAATCGGTTTGTAAAAATTCTTCCTAGTATCAAATTCCCAGCCCCAGTCAATGGGATCCAAAATGTTTCCCATCCAGCATTGAATTTGGAGATAAACTTACTTGATATGTTGTAGAGCTGCATCTTTAGTAGGTGGTAAAGAACACAAGAGTACAATTCTGTAGATTTTTTAATATCCCGGCTAGTTAAATCTTGTTGTGTCACACATCCTGATATAGCGTGTTAGAATAAAATATTTGTTTTAACTACTGGTGAATGATCTAAACTTTTAGATGAATAAGTTGCACCGGGTGTTTTACCTTTTGGTGGCTTGATGTAAAATATCTCTTTGTCATCGGGTGTTAATGCCACCAATATTATCTAAACTTTTAGATGAATAAGTTGCACCGGGTGTTTTACCTTTTGGTGGCTTGATGTAAAATATCTCTTTGTCACTAAAACATCTATGTCCTCCGTAACAATAGCTACTTTTGAGTCGGATGCAGAGATGTTTGCTTCTGCCATAGCTGTAGATAGTATTAATTTATCCACATCGTCATTGGATTGCTTGTGCCGATGGTTCGTCTTAGTAACCCAGGGTTATTGGAAAAAATTCTGATTCTCCAATGATTTCGTGGGTAGAATTATTCATTTGTTAATTACCCCGGTTGCAACAATTGAAAAATAAACAATTATGTTTGCAATACTCTTGTGCCGGTGGTTCGCCTTAACAAGCCAGAAATGCTGGAAAAAAAATTCCGGTTCTCTAGTGATTTCGGGGGTTGAGTTTTTCATTTGCTAATTAGCCAAGTTACAACAATTTAGCATTAAATAATAAATTTTCGTTGAAGCGTGTGTGACATTTGCCACATATTCATAAACACTCTAACAAAAATGCCTCATTTATTAAATAAACAATTAAGAATTTGCGAGCGTACAAAGGTTAGATATACCTTTTGTTACAGACGGTTTCCTGAACATTTTGCAGAAAACCGCATCTCAATCGGACCTCTCCGCAAAAAGTTGTCCATTTTCACTTTTTTTATGCTAATTTGACGCGACTACGAGCCCCTTCCCATTTCAGTTGGCCCACCTATTAATATTTTCTTTATATAACGACAATAAGAAAGTATTAAAGATTACATGCTTTTTTAAATCATAAATTAAGTAACAATGCATTAATTTAGAATTATATTAGAACTAGAACTAGGAAACATCAATTTTTTTATTTATTTTTAAATTTATTAACACATGGAGCATTATTGCATTATTTCAACTTGAATTCAATGCGTTAGAAATCAAACCAAAATCGAAGGTAGCTTTGAAAAAATAACAAACAATAATGCAAATAACTGTCACAAGACAATTTAACCTCTTTTAAGCTAATTCTGTCTAATAAAATGGGTAGAAGAAAAATCATTGACGAAAAAATACGTTTTCTTGTTATAAAACATTGCAATTCTGAAAAATCGAACTCGGAAATTGCAAATATATTAGATTTATCACGATATAGTGTAAGAAATATAGTTAGAAGATACAAAACTACTGGTTCAATCAGCCCAAAGCACCGTCATGTTAGAAAAAGCAAGATTACAAATGCCTAAAGACGAGCATTGAGAAGAATTATTGAAACTAACCGTCGTGCTAATTACCTTGAATTAAGTGCTCAGTGGAGTGATGCTGTTGGAAGACGAATTTCGAGATCTTCATGTCATAGAGAAGCTCGCAAATTGGGATTTGGGACCTACAAAGTAAGTTTATAATAATAAAAACAATAAAAAACATGGATTGAAGACACTAAAACAATCAAATATGTTTGCTTAAAATTGACAATTTTGTTACAGGTTAAAGAAAAACCACTACTAACTGCGAAACAGAAAAAAAATCGATTAAGATGGTCAAAAGAACATATGAGTTGGACTTCTCATCAATGGGATGCAATACAATGGAGTGACGAGACCCGATTCGAAGTTTGTGTTGGAGATAGCAGAAGTCGAGTTATTCGCAAAAAACATAAAGCGTTCCATCCAGACTGTCTCAAAAGAAAAGTAAAATTTCCCGCATCGGTCATGGTCTGGGGCAGCATCTCATCTAAAGGAATAGGGAAATTGCATTTTATTGAAGGAATTGTAAATACAAATAAATATTTGGTCATTTTGGAGGAATCACTTTTACCGACTATGGAATTATATTTGACATCAGGGAAAGATTTTGTATTTCAACAGGATGGAGCAGGGTGTCACACGTCAAAAAAAGCTCTAAAATGGATGGAAGACTTCGGTGTTCCACTTTTGGAATGGGTTTCTAGTAGTCCCGATTTATTACCAATAGAAACATTGTGGCATGAGATGAAAAAGGTACTTCGAAAACATCCTGCAAGAACAATACGTGAACTTAAACAAAAACTTCAAGATATATGGGATTCATTTACACCAGAATTTTGCCAAGGCTTAGTTAATACCATGCCGCAAAGAATTTCAGCTGTAATAAAAAATAAAAGTGACGTTACTCAATGGTAAACTTTAAAATTGATTAACGTTTGATTCCAACTATTTGTTTATTTTTTTAAAATTTTATATTAAATAAATATTTTAATGTTTTCTACATATTTTTTATGATTAAACGATATTAAATATATTGTTCAATGAATAAAAATTGGAAAGTTCATGCAATATTTATATTTTTAATCTTTAAATACGAATTTCCTAAATTTCAATGGTGGGCCAACTGAAATGGGAAGGGGCTCGTATATACATATCTCTAGATTAGCACGTAAAATAGGGAAATAGTGTGAGATACGTCAAATACATATTATATTCGCAACTTGTATAGAGTCATCGCAGAACTTTTTAGCTGACCTTGAATCAAGGTCTCTTAACCCCAATACTGAAATAAGTTTAAAAATTAAGAGAATTCAATAAGATAGTAGAAAATTTTGGGTTTTCAGAAATTGACCTTTTTGCGTCAAAACCAAATAACAAATGTAAGCTTTTTGTGTCATGGAAAAGAGGCCACGATTCTATAGCTGTGGATGCATTATCTAAGTATATATTTTATGCTTTTTCCCCGTTTTCCCTAATAATAAAAACAATAAAAAAGAGGAAGGGGAGGGTGTAATAATAGTATCATTATAGAAAAGCCATGGTATCCAATTTTCTTAAAAGTAATTAAATCAAAGCTAATTTACTTAGGTCCTTCTATCTCTTCCCAAACAGAAACCCACATCCACTCTGGCCCAAGTTTATCTTGGTATCAAGGATTTTGTCAGAAATTCAAATTTATCAAGAAATCTACCGCAATCTGCAGTAGATGTATTAATTTCTTCTAGGACGTACCGAAAAATGGAACCTTCAGACCCCCTCTCCCCCTCCGGCTCAAAGGCTACGAGCGGGGACTTTTGATATGTTCACTTCGTAACTAGTCCAAACAAAGTTACGAAGTCAAAAATTGTGTTCCATGCATTTTCTCTATACCTTTTTTTAGAGCATTCGTTGCTTGAACTATAGTGTATACATATATCATTCATTAATCATTAACGATTTTACCTTTTCTTCACCCAATGTCCATAATTTGGCTTTACAACTTCTCACAGTACATCGCCAAAACATCTCTCCATTTTTTAAAATTTTGCAAAAATTAAATGTTGTTTCGTCTAACACAATAATTGACTAACAAAGAAGATATAATAACTAATTTTTGATTTTGAGATTTCATTACTTATTATACAAATTTATTCGTGTTTAAAACATTAGAAAATTATTTAGGAGAAGGAGTTCGAAAGGGATAATCCCAAGTTTAAGATTATTACCCACACTAATTTGATTTTGGAACATATTAGACAATTATTTAGGTGAAGGGGCTGGAAAGGGATAATCCCATGGGCAATGCCCAATTCGTGAAAAAATTCGTTGGCACCTAATGCAACCCTTGTAATATGATTTTTAGAGTGTCCAGTTCATGCACGCCCACTTGAGCGATCTATTTTAGTTACCAAATGTAGATTTTAAAAATATTTTTCGATTTTAAAGATGAAACCAGAACTATTGTTTATATTATAGAGCCAATTTTGTTGTATTTATTGCGTTTTATTTTCCCATCGTGAAGCAAATTTTGCCATATCGCACATAGGCCTTAACATCTCAGCCAGGCCACAGAAAATAAAACAATGGGTCTAACACTTCAGAAATAAAATTCGTAATGAAAACATGTTGCATTTAATTTATTCCTTCAAAATATAGGTAATGAGTCAAACATGAAGTAAGGCAGAACTCGATGGAAAGGAAAAATAACTTTATAATATACAGAATATGCGACAACTTTATTAATTAATTAATTAACAACTCTATCAACAAACATACATGATCATTTTTATGTTTGCCAGATATAGTAGTCTGGTCTATTACATCATAGTCTAGTCTACAACAAGAATTAATTTGAAAACAAAAAATTAAGAAGCTCTCCAGTCAGAATTACTTTGAATCCAATCGAGGAATTTAGTAACTCTAACGTAAACACTTGGGGCTCCAGCTGGACACCCACGACTTCCGTAAGAAACAATTCCTACTTGTTTGTTTCCAACTATCATAGGACCGCCGGAATCACCATTGCAAGAAGTTCTACCTCCAGCTCCAGACAAACAAATTTCCTCTCTTCTGACGACTCCATAATGAGAATTGCATTCAACATTACTAATAACGGTATTATTAACCGCCAAGAGAACATTAGATCCGCTTCCAGAGCCACTGGTCAAGCCCCAACCGCTGACACGTCCGGTACGACCTGAAAAATAGTGTTCAAAAAGTTAATACAAAAAGGACGTAATTATTATCAAAATATTGTGAATGTAAAATACTCAATTGCCCCTCTATAATTTCTAGATCCTTTTTATTCTGTTTAGTGTCTTTAAGAAGGTTATTATAGCAATCGTCCTTACCAACTAAATTAACACCAACATCAGACCGTCTCGGAAGGCGTGACAATCCAATGCCGCGTGTAAGACCAACGTTACTTGCTAACCGAATAACTGCAACATCATTGTCAATGGTTCGAGAATTGTATCGTGGATGCATGGTCCAGGTGCTTGCGCTAACAGTAACCTGGCCAGAAGCAGCATTTCTGAGGTTATGAGCTCCCAGTGTTACCTGAATGCTTGTTGCTCTAAAATATTGATTTAGAATTAGTAATGATTTTCACTGCATATCTCCAGATACAGTCCGTCAGATAGTGACAGGTTTAGGTGCCCCATTTTCGCATACAAGCCTCGAAGAGGGTTGAAAATTACATCGATTTTAAGTAGAATGAAAGGAAATTTACGAGTGGCTGCTGGGGATAACACATGGAAAATTCGATTTTCCATAACAAAAACGAAATATTATTTGTTGCCCATTTTTCCACGCAAGCCGTTTTCACTATATGATTAATTAATAGAACTAGTCTTCGGAAAACCAAAGGCTTTAATATTGCAAGTGGCTAAAGGGTTGAAATAAGGGCGAAATCGAGATGTTGTCCGATTTTTCCACACAAGCCCATCGAATGAATGAAAACGTACGTCGTCACTAGTCCAAAAAACATATTTTCTTGAATGACCCGAATGTATAAGTGCATTTTGGGGTCGGAAAATTTTTCTGATTAGGAAAATCGAATTTTCCATGTGTTATCCCCAAGAGCCACTCGTAAATTTTCTTTTATTCTACTCAACATCTATGTACTTTTCAACCCTCTTCAAGGCTTGTATGCGAAAATGGGGCAACTAAATCGGTCATTATCTGACGGTCTAATAGCTTAATTAGTTATCTTATCATAATAGTTTTGCGACGATAGGTTATAGCAACTTATAGCCACAAAACTATTTTTGTGTTAAAGTAGATCCATAGAGAGCAATGTAATTTACAAAGGCCTTCTTTCAACATACAAATAAATGACAACTTTATAATTTAAATAAAAAACAACAAAATACCTCGGTACCAAGGCAAGAAGATTCATTTTAAATTTTATTTATTAAGGAAATTTATGACTAGAAGTTTACTAATTATTATTTACAATTCGCTGGTTGAATATGTAATTCAAAATCGTACAATAAAAATGTTCTATAAAAAAATCCAGCATTATATCCTACCTTTGTATAAGAACAATATATTATCTATCTTGCTGTACCTTTATGGAAAGCCTGAATTGAGATATACTACAAATTATTTGCAATAAATATCAAAAGAAGTATACATTTTTAAATAATTTGACATTTAAGAGCCATTCACAGTTGACATCTTGATACTTGACAGGCACAGCCAAGCATTATTCTGATTTTTGCCAAATAAAATGGCCGGTTAATTATTCTATGGGGTTGCGACAGAGAGCCAATAAATTTGATGAAGGTGTTTTTTAAGAAATATTTTTAATTTTTAAGAAATTGCTTATATATTTTTCATAAATTGGCAGGCTTGGCTACTAATTTCGAATAAAAATAGCTTCCAAAATGGCTATGATTGCAAGTATGATCACACACACACACACACACACACACACACACACACACACACACACACACACACACACACACACACACACACACACACACACACACACACACACACACACACACACACACACACACACACACACACACACAGACATCATCGCGAAAATAGTCAAAACGGATTCAGGGGACCTCAAAACGTAAAAATCCGTCGAAAACTCGAGGTCGAAAAAATCATGATTCCTATACTTTCCTTATATCTGTATACAGATAGGAAAGTAAAAAACGACACAATAGACTCACGAAATTGCTGCTCTATATTCTACAAGTGATTGGGAACACTTATGCTATTGCGAAATTGCAAACTATTCTCGTACAATCCAAACTGCGATTGGGAACAAACCTATAGTATGCTGCAATTTAATGGATGTGTCGTGTGTGTTTTGACAAAACGAAGAGTCCATAGAACCATGATTGTTTTACTTAATATTTATATTTGTTTGAAGTTGAGCTTATGAGGTCTAAAGTGCTTGCAAGCTTTAACATGTTGGAAAAAATCTAATTAAAGATCCTGTGGTTGACAGACTTTATTTTTCTCATACTTTCCTAAATTGAAGTAGTTTGTAAAGTTTTGTAGTACAATAATAATAAAAAGTACAACATTAGGTTAATTTTTAAAAAATTTGCTTAGGTGAAGATCAGTTTAGAGTACACTTCATTAGTTATTAAAGTATGACTTTTCAGACGCTAGAACAGTTTATAAATATATCAATGCTACATACCCATCAACACAGTGAGCTGCTGTCAGAACATAACGGTTAGTGATTAAAGAGCCTCCACAAGACCAAGCACCCGAAGAACTTCTGGCAACAAGGTAGGCTTGATAATTAATTGAATGAGGAACAACTTCGTATCCATTAATAATTCTTAAATGTGGACGGCGAGATGGTTCTTCTGACGGACGTATGGGGTCAAGTTCTAAATGCCTAAATGGAGGAATCTCAACATCGTTTCCCTGAAAATAAATTAAACATATAAAGTGGGAACAATATACAGTTCATCAAATTTCTAGAGGCTTTCGACGGCTAGACAGAGAAAGCACTACTGCAACTCTTACATTATTTAATCATATCCTAGAAAATTTTGATAAAAATAATAAATGTCTAACTTTGTTTTTTTTTATCTTTCTCGAGCCTTCGAGACAGTCAAACAAGAATAAATTTTACATAAACTTGAGTTGTAAGGTATCAGGGGCCCTGCTTTATTATAGATAAAATATTTTTTAACTAACAGATCCAATTTGGTTCTATTTAATTTAAATTCATTAAAAAATCTATCAACTTCTCGAAAAGTCAGTTCCGGTGTACCACAAGGTAGTGTTATGCTCCTACTCTCTTTCTTTTTAGTCAGTTCTAATAGTTTCATCACTCAATTTGCTGATGATACAATATTTAGGGTTAAGATACTCTTTTATTAATATAGCTGTCGAAACTATGAATGAGCTATTTTTAAATGTTAAACAAATATGTTATTATTTATAATATATAAATTAGCTACTCACTGTTATGTCCTTTGTCAGCTAATTTCGTTATTTGTTTGAGTTTTGTTTTCTTATCAGATATTTCTTTTTAATTTTAATAAATCTGTCACCAATTTAGTAGAAGTTAACTTTATTTACATGTGTAACTTAATGAAATATTTTAAAAAATGTGTCCAACACATAACTTTCCTGTAAAGTTATCAAATATATTAAATATTACCCATCTAATCAAACAGTATTTAGAGTATGAATTAAAGATAAAAATAATTTAAATATTTTTCATATCTTCATTGCCAACTAAAATACTGAAAATACATATTTTGTACTTTAAATTTATTAAAGGACATAATTTATAGAGAACCACTACACAAACAAATTTATTAAAAGATTCTATATCATAGATAGGTAACTACTTAACAGAAAAAAAAATTTGAGGTTGAAAAGATATCCAACAAAATTACCAAACAATCGATTTTTGCTAAGAAGCCGTTTAGTCGTTTTTCAAAATTTTTACCACCTCCGTACATAAAGACATTTTCCGGACCCCAAAACGTTAAATCAATATCTCGAGGTATAGAGCTGAGGCATTTGACATTACTTACATATCCTTTATGTTTAATTCTTTAAAAAATAAAAAAATCGAATACAAATCAGCTTAATAACTGTAATAATAAGCTTATTAGTAAACTCCTAAATACGGACCTGCGTATTTGAATTTCTCTTCGTGACTAATTTAGCGTCATCTACTAGAGAAGCTTCAAATTAATCTGTGTCTACTCGCATGCAGTTTTAGGAAGTTTTCTTTTATATGCTAGATAATTTTTACACATAAATTTACTTCAAATTGACGCAATTAATTTACATATTTTAAGGGACATTTGTTGCTTTAGTATATAACCTATTCAAAGAAGAATTATTTTTATCATCGGGTAATTATTACTGGTATATTATTAGCTTTATTTCATCGTAAACTTTACTATATTTTGGGAATTATTTTTAAATGGTCCCTTATAGTTAAAGACACCGTTTATTGAACCGTAGTATATATCTATTATCGGCAGGAATTTTTTCAGTTTTCTCCTTGTTGTAGTTTCGGATAAAAAGTCACTGAAAGAACGTTGTATATGCCTATGGTAAATACACTGAAATATTTCATCTTGACCCAACCTCAGATATACATTTAATTAATATGCATGTACTTATTTAACTAAACAAATCTACTTTATTTGGTTAACAAAATTATAATCAAACTAGGAAATGTCACAGATTTAAAAATTGCTATTTAGAATATCTCAAAACTTAATTATTCATATTTTACGAATGTTTTGGTAAAAATAACACGTAAAAGCGGAACGGTTTTTTTTTAAATGATAATTGTATAAAAAACCGAAGATATTTGTACATTCCTACGTAAAAACTAAAGACTGTCAAAACTAAATAATTTAGTCCACAACAGTGAATCCCCGAAAAAAACGTTTTTAACTGATATACATGGTTATTTTCATTTTATATGCAACACATATATAAAAAGTAAAAAATATATATGAAATAATTACTTACAATGGAGGCAGCAAAAGCTGATCCAAAAATTGCCAAAACCAATACTGCTACTTTCATTTTGAACTCAGTAATGATAACCATTTGAAAATAATTGTATGTCTTATATAGGTAAAGAGTGAAGTTAAGATCAATTCACAAATCATCTTTATCGTTATCTGATAATCTTGATGGTTGCATTTTTTTGTCATAGGAAGATTAAATTGTATTATTAAATACATTTTAATTACCGTATTGAAACATTTATTAGTTATAAAACATGAAATAATTTTTTTTTCAATTGTGAAACAAGTAATCCATGTTATGAAACAATAGTTCACGAGTATCAAGGACTAAGAGGGTATATATTGTATGACATTTTTATCGAAAATAAGATAGATACGATTCAATGTTATTTGAGATGAAAACTTTAAGAATTCCAAATTTACTTCGTCCACTTGAAACGGTTTATTAATACATACATAGTCACCTCCAACTTTTAAATGAATTTTATTCAAAACATTTTTGGATATACCACATTTAGCTCTAGACACCCCGGACACGATCAAAAATAATTCAACTTTTGAGATAGTAGAAAGTTTGTAGAAAAATCAAAAAATTCGTAGGAATTCCCTAAATTCGATTCGGCCAACAAAACACTGGCAATGCCTGAACACGTGAAAGCTATGATTCTCAATTTCGGAAAAAATGAGAATTCCTCAGGGGAAGAATCATCCCACAATTATGAGGCACCAATACCCCCGCCTCCAGCCCCGATGACGATACATGTTGATGCAAACGTCCACCCACCGTTACTGACCTAGAGATCTCAATACACGTCACCAAAATCGCCCATTCTTAAAAGAAAAAGGACAAACGATATGCCACCCGAAATCCTGGACGATATAAATACAATTAAAATGGACACAGACACAAATAATGTGAAATTTTAAACAGCGAAAGTAGAAATATAGGTACTGCGTTCCAAGTATATGATACAAAATTAAAAACTGATATAAATATATACCAAATGCAAAGTGTCTCTGGAATAAATATTTTAATTAGTGCATTTCCAATTCTTTCGAAATAAAGGTTTCTTATTTTATATCAATTCTGCATGACATACCTACCTACCTTCTTATAGATATAAATAGGAAGGAAATAATTGACTTAATTGGTTATAGTGCAAACATATCTCTACTGGTTGGGTTACTTCCCAAGTGACTTCTCGATTGGTAAACGAATACGAACATCAACATTTTATTAATTTAGTTATAAAAAATATTTTAAAATTAAAATTACAAAGTAAATGTAGAAATAACCTAAACATAGACCGACTTATAAAATTAAAATGTGACTTACATATTGCTGATTTAACTCAGATTTCCTCATTGTTTCCAAATTCCTGCTCCTCGTCTTCCTTCTCCTCGTTATCACTAATTATATCATCATATATTGGTTGGATTTATTACGACCTGTCACAGAATGAAAAGAAGGCATATTTTTTAGAATTTTTTTTTATCCTAATTTAAATCATGTACTGTTATAAATCGTCACGAGTCTCCTCGCCCTATTATGAATCATATCTTTTTAGTTCAAAACTACTTAAAATAAATTAATAAGACTAGAACATCTGTATCGTTGCAATCAATAATGCAGCGTAAATTCCCCGAATTTCTGGCTGATAATATGTGCAACAAGATACGAGTATCAACTTCTTTAAGATTTAAATTTAAGAAATCGTCTTTTGATGGTTCAAAACTCATCCCATATTTATTGATACTCGCGAATCCATCACTAGATACAAATTTTCAAGAAGTTGCTCTGACAGAAAATGTGTTAAACGTCTTTTATTAAATATCGAATGAATGAACAAGTTTCATTATTCTGTAAATGGAATATTGGGTCGGTCAATTTCTATATCAATTGATTTCTGGGATCATCTCTTTTGACGTGTATTTTTGATAGAATTTTCTTTATAATGATTAAATACAACATCTATCCTTTGAGTATTAAATTTATTTTTGAAAATAATCTTTACAAATATATTAGCATATTCTTTAAATGATATGCAACTTTTGGAATTTCCCAAACCTTGAGCTATCCCATCAAAAATGTGACAAGTTTTGCAAGATCACCTAAGTGCAGGTAAGTCTTTGTGGGTCATATTGCTCTAAAATATTTCCCAATAAACTCTTATTTGTAGAGGTGCCGAGATACCCATTTACTGTTAGAGACATGGGAGAGGCTGTCAGATCAAACTTAAATATTTCGGCATAATTACCTAATGCTTCTGTCCATATCCTTTGCTAATAAAATATTGTGAAGAAACTGTTGACCATGCAAGGATTAAGAAGTCATATTTTGATATTATTTGTGTCTTTACTTCTTGCAACAACAAATCCGTAATTAAAATGTTTAACGAAAACTTACCCAACTTACCCAAATATATTCAGGCATTCAGCTATAACAGGATGAATATAGATGTAATAAAAACCTAAAAAATGTCTATATTTCGTCCCAATTTATTAGGAACTTTAATATGTAACACACTTATTATTTTTTTAGTAAAAACAGACAATATGACACTTTGTCCATTGGCACCTAACGAAAAGTTTTATAATAAAAAAATAAAAAAAAATTGAGCATATCAATAATGTGATGCATCAGCCGACACGTAGAGAGAAACAGAGCTATACTACGTTTTTCATTAGGGCCTTCCTTTTTGTCAAATGATAAAATTATATTTAAAAAAATGACTTTTTAAACAAATTTTTGAAGGGCTGAAATTTTTTTTAAATAAGTATAAAAAATTACTCCTTACAAAGATTTTATTGTACATTGGACCAAAAAATCAATATTTTTTTTTATTCGGCGTATCAGAATCTGGATTTTTGATGATAGTGCCCTTCTGCACAGTCTAATTTTGTGTTACCTCCGGAATAAGGGTTACCTTATCATGACCTTTTATCTCTGAAAAATTCAGCTTGTGACAAAGGGAGGTAAATCGTTTTCTAGAACGAATATTTTAATACATACACTCTACTAATAATAATTGATTAAGAGTAGAAAAGCGTCCATAGTTTAGCAATACATTCCCTTCTATATCACATAATAATATGTCCTCGATACAAAAAGTCAAAGTAACAAAAACAGGAGGCCAATGTAAATAAACAATAAACGGTCTCATGACATTTTATATTTTTAAATAAACTAGGTGTTTAAAAAATATTTTCTATACCTGTTGTTACGTACTAAAAGTCTCATACCTTATATATAATTTTTATTAACAATTTTATTATTCTAATATAGAATAATTAGTTTTCACAAAGAAATGAGCAAGGGCCCAACTATTTTAATATATATCTATTTTGAGATCCTTCAACTGTAGCTATATTTCATCTTCAATTAACTTTACCTTGATATCTGGTTTACCTAAAAATAAACGAATTAAAACTAATATTTAAATATTTTAGTAAATTAGTAAATATAACCTTAAATTTTGTTATGTTCCTCTTCTGTTACCTGTCAAATTTTCTTCTCACAGAACCATAAAACATAAATTATTGGAAAAATACCATGACGTCATGCACAGTTCAGTGTAGCCAATAGTTCAGAAGAATAATTCTCTAGATTCTCGCGGAATGATTCGGTTTAAAGCCCATAAGAAAAAAACTAAAAAACTTTTTTTTCATCTTTTTCTTTTTTGGAGAATTTGCTTTGAGAAGCAACCACGTTTTCCAAACCTCGCATTTTTGCGGATATTTACCGAAATCTCCGATTATTTTATTAAATTTCGATATTAGGGATAAAGTAACTAATATCACATTTTGTGGATCTAAAAGAAATAATTTATTTGGAGAATTCAATTATCAAATTCGCTTCAATTGAAGCCACGTTTAGGCCCCCTGCCAACCGAGGTGAGTCTATTGTTTGAACTATTCTATTGTACCTTATATTTCTTTAGATGATGCTTTACCAAGTTATATTATTTTTAGGCCTTTCTCGTTTTCCTATTCTTTTTACCTTTGGCACTTAAAACTATATCTGGGTTGATAGTTCCCATTACATCTTATTCAATTGAAAGGACCACACTATATTGACGCCTATAAGATCTCTAATACCAATCGAAGCCCTGTAAGGTTCTGGAGAGAAGCCGCCCTTCTGGAAAAAGACAGATAAGCCTTAAAAACTTTAATTTGTTTTTTTTTTTTTATTAGTCGAGTCAGTGATTTAAGTATATTTTACGTATTAATTTGCCAATTTGCTGATAATTCATTCATATATATATTAACTTACCAATTTGCTGATAATTCGTTAGAAAATAGAACTTTAAACCTTCTCAATAGGTCAAACTTGTGATAAGGACATTAATCTGAGTCTGAAACAAAATAGACCATAATTATTAAAAACATTCAAGACAAAATATTCATTGTTAAAGATAGGTATTTTACAATTAGTGTAATCTTTTTATGGTTCTTGTTGAGCTTACCTGTGAATAATTTGTAAATATAAATACGTATTTATATCAATATCATCCAAATGTTTCATACTTATTGCTAAAAGATATTTGAGAAATGTAATAATCTGCCTGATTGCAAGAAAAGAACTCCACAATAGCTTTTATTTTGCTAACCTTCGAATCCTTCCTGAGATTGACCCATCCTGGCTTTAAAAGGCTTTCCCTTAGTACCCTGAGGCAAAGTTGCCGTAACACTGTTATTTTTTATATTCAAGCGGATTTTTCTTGCTAATAAATTTCCAAATCTTATTTTGCTCTGGATTTATTGTCCATGTCATATTAAAAGGCTTTAGCAAACAATAAAAGATTTTATGAGATTGTTTAAAAAATGCCTTTCCTTTTTTTACAAATGTCTCCAAATTTACATTCATTTTTTTCTCATCTATAGACATTATCAAACTTTTTAGAAAATCTTCTTTTGCAACGCGCATCAAAGAGTGTGAGAGATCAAAGCCACGCTCGAAAGCAAAAAAAATGATTTACTAAGTTCGAAAAAATATACATTACTTTAACAGTTTAAAGAGTTGTTAACATGCTGGAATTCATTATTCTTAACTCGAAGATGTATTCATTAAAAAAAATTCCCGTGCAATATAAAAGTTAATTTATAATTCAAATCTTATTGTATACTTTTTAATTTCGGATATATTTTTTTAATAAATAAATGATA